AAAATGGCTTCCCTCCTACCCTCTCTACTTGAGACACCACCCTTAGCTCCCAAGTTCAACTTGTATTATCTTTACTTTTTGCTTATTTTTTTCAACTGGAGTTCTATGTCAAAAACCTGGACCAATGATGTTTTGTTACGTCCTGAATGGTTCCTGAATCTGTTTTCTTCTGTTGCTATATGCTTGGTCCAGATTCAGTTTCATGCCCATATTGTTGTAAACAATCACACTTTCCTTCTGTGAGACTAAGCTCTCCCCATTCTAGTTATTCAATAGAACATCTCCAAACTGATCTTCCTCAAACAATGCTTTCATGACGTCAATCAACTTCAAGGGCTGTTTCTTACTAGGGTTCATGTAAGGGAATCTTGAAAATAAAATTAAAATGGAAAATTGAGAGGAGTTTTTAGAAAATAATACAATCAAGAAATAACAGCAGTACACACTTTACAAATAGAATATTTACATTTACTATATTGAGCATCTGTAAGTATTTATTAAAATAAAAAGAATAAACATAAAAAGTAAAATCACGAACATCTATACCAACCGGTAACGGATAAAGGGGAACATCCACTTGACCTAGGAAATCATCTCTTGTCTACAAAAGAAAGAAGGAAAAATAATATTAGTAAAACGCTCAATCTTTTTGGAAGGTTTTGATGAGCTACTGTCATCATTCACTAAAAATGTAGACTTTTTTTCTGTTTAATCCTATGAAGTATCAATGAAAACAAATCAATGGAAAATAAAAGGTAATATGGTACAACTTCTGGTAATGGCAGAATAGAGTGGATTAGGTTAATCCTTTTGCACATAATTATGTACTCTGAAAAAAACACAAAACAACTATTTGAAAGTACCATCGAGTGACCAAAAGCAAGCAGAAACTGGAGGGGAGTCAATCCTTGAAGGAAGGAACTGTGCCGGGAAGGATTCCTATTCACGTGGCTTTTCACACGGCAGTACTCCACGTGGCGGAATGATTGGAACTTAAAGGCAAATCTGAAAGACTGCTCATTTGAGTAGCTCGAAGACCTACTTTGAAGTTAACAGCATAACTGGAAAGTAAGAAAGAACTCCCAAAAGAAAGAAGCCACAAGAGTCCCTCCAAATCTATATATAAACTCTACTCAAATCCCTAGCTGATTCCTAAACTGCATATGTGAAAGGCAACAGCTGAAAGGCTGAACGACTCAGCACAGACTTCAGTTGATGTTCACTTATCAGGAGCTAGCATTTGGAGTTCAGCTAAGTTAACAAAAATCAACATTCTTCAGGGAAAGATAACAAAATCATCATCTTCATCATGTGCCACACACCCTGTCCAGTATACACTGAAAATGACTAAACATGTTAAAAAAAAAAAAGAAAGAAAAAGAAAAATATGACCCACTACAAGAGAAAAAAAGTAATTAATAGAAACTGACCAGAAGATAAGCCAGATCTTGGAATTAGCAGAGAGGGAAATTAAAGCAGCTGTTATTAAGATGTTTTAAGAATATAAAAGGAAAATAAGATCATAATGACTGAATGAATGGGGAATCTCAGCAGTGAAATGGAAGCTATAAAAGGGAATTAAATGTGTATTTTGAAATACATATACAACTGAAAAACAGAATATTTGAATTAAAGATCAGTGGATGGGCTTAACATATGACTGAAAGTAACAGTGAAAAGTTCTGTGAACATGAAGATCTATCAACAGAATTTATGTAATATGAAAATTAAGGAGGACTTGTGGAAAAATATCAAGCAGTCTAATATATGCAGAAGGGGAGTCCCAGAAAGATAGGAGACAAGGAGGGAGGAAGGGAGGGAAAAAGATAAAGGAAAGAGAGAGAGAAAATTATTTAAAGAATAAAGTCATCATCTTCCGCAGTGTTAACATCTTACGTAACCATAGCACAATGATCAAAACCAGGAAAACTACTTCTAGAGGAAATACTTTTACTTATTCAAACTTCTATTCTTAAGCTTTTTAATTGTAAAAAAAATCCCCTATACACATAACAGACAGTATTCTGTCAGATATTCTGTCATCCATAATCTTTATCAATTTAAAGTAACTTATGAAAACCTTGACCCTCCAATCTCAGTTCCCAGAGGGAACCAGGGTTAACTGTTCCATAAACTTCTCCCAGATTTTTTCCTGCATGTACCACATACCACAATTTTTTAAAAATTGAGATATAATTGACATACAACATTATATTAGTTTCAGGTGTACAACATAATGATTCAGTATTTGTATATACTGCAGAAAAATCACCATAATAAAACTAGTTAACATTGGCCATCATACATGTTACAGACGTTTTTCTTGTGATGAGAACTTTTAAGATTTACTCTCTTAGCAACTTTCAAACATGCTATACAGTATTATTAACTATGCTATAATTACATCTCCACAACTTATTTATTTTATAGCTATTAAGTTTGTAGCTTCTGACTTCCTTTACCCATTTCTCCCACCACTCATCCCTTGCCTCTGACAACCACCAATCTGTTCTCTGTAAGCCTGTTTTGTTTTGTTAGTTAGTTTGTTTTTAGGTTCCACATGTAAGTGAGATCATACATTATTTGTCTGTCTCTGTCTGATTTATTTCACTTAGTATAATGCCCTCAAGGTCCATCCATGTTGTCATAAATGGCAAGATTTAATTTCTTTTTACAGCTGAATACTATTCCATTGTGTGTGTGTATACACACATATATTTATATATAAATATGCATGTACATATATTACTTTTTAAAATACATTCATCTATTGATGGACACTTGGGTTGTCCCTACAGCCTGGCTATTGTAAATAATGCTGCAACGAATATGAATCTTTTCGAGAGGGTGTTTTTGCTTTCTTTGGCCAAATACCTCAAAGTGGAATTGCTGGATCATATGGTAGTTCTATTTTTAATTTTTTGAGGATCTGCCATACTGTTTTCCATAGTGGCTGTACAAATTTACATTCCTACCAACAGTACACAAGGGTTTCTTCTTTCTCATCACTTGCCAACACTTGTCATTTATTGTCTTTTTGATAACAGTCATTCTGACAAGTGTGAGATATCTCACTGTGCTCTTGACTTGCATTTTCCTGACAATTATTGATACTGAACACTTTTTCGTATGTCTGTTGGCCATCTGTACATCATTTTGGAAAAAATTCTATTTATATCCTCTGCCTATTTTTTAATTGGATGGTTTGTTTTTCTGCAATTGAGTTGTATGAAAAATCAGGAATAATATTAACTAATCTACAGACCTTACTCAAATTTCACCAATTGTCCTGCTAATTTTGGTCCAGGGTTCAATTTAGGATTGTACACTGCCTTTAATAGGTATGTTTCCTTAGTTTCTTTGAATCTGGAAAGTATCTCAATCTCTTTGTCTTTCATAATCTTGACATTTTAAAAGAGTAGTGGCTAGTTATAGGATACCCCTCAATTTGGGTTTGTGTACTGTTTCTTCCTGGCTGAATTTAGGTTATGTATTTCTTGCAAGAATACTATAAAAGTGATGTTGGTGCTCTTTTCAGTGCACTGTGTCAGCAGGCAATGAACGCTGGAATCTTATACATTATGGACAGCTAAAGACCATTAAATATTTGAGGAAGGTTTTAACATGAAGAGCTGAGATCTAACCCAAAAAACAAACAGCAAGAAGGGAGTCAGATAAATAAGAATCAAGTCAGAGTGCAGGAGAAATACTTGAGAAAAACTATAATTAATATCGTCAGAGATAAGACATAAACCTCTGTCAAATAGAATAGAAGGTTATATAAAAAAAGAAGCGATTAGAGAATAAGAGAAAACTCTTGGAAATTAAAAATACAACTGAAATTAAAAGTTTAAGATAGAGTTAGACAATAGAGTTCAAGAACTATGTCTCAGAAAGTAGAACTAAAAGACAGAAGAAAAGGCTGTAGCATTCCCCAAAATAAGGAAACTACAGGATAAATGTTAAAAGTCAACATCTAGATAGTAGGCATTCCAGAAAGAAAAATGAAAAGGGAGGAAATCATCAAGGAAGCATTTTAAGAAATCTTCCCTAAACTCAAGAAAATGAATTTTGAGAATGAAAAGCCGCACGAAGTATTAGGCAAAATGCTTGAAGAAAAGACTCAAGCAAGGCAAATCACTGTGACATTTCAGAGCACAAGAGATAAAAAAAAATTCTTAGGGCTTTGAGAGAGACAAAAGAGATCATATACAAAACAAGAGAATAATGCCTTCAACACGGTGAGAGAAAAAAAAAATTCTACATAGAATTCTACACCCAGCCAAAATATCTTTTTAAATAATGAAGGCGGAATAAAGACATTTTCAGACATTGGTGTTCTTATAAGGTAATGGAGGATATATTTCATCAGAATGAGGGAGTACAACATGGTCAAGGAAGATGTAGAGAATTCAAGACGGGAGGGAAGAAAAGAGGATCCCCAGAATGATGGGGAAGGGAACTGTGAGAGTAATAGTAGTGTGAGACCTACAGAACCACCAGTGCACACTGGAGCAGGAAGATGGACAGTTGTAAGAGGGGTGCTTCCAGAGGAACAGGAATAATCATATCCACCTAACATGGTTTTGTGAGAATTAAATGAGATAATATACACAAAGTACTTTGCATAATACCCAGCATGCAGTAAGCATTCAATGAATGTTAGCTGTTATATTTGAAATGCTAGATTCTATAATAAAACCCCTGCTTCCTTTCCCAGTCTGTGGACATTTCAAACTGGTACATACAATAAAAGGAGCATGGCTGGGGGCTGAAGCCTAGCAAATTACCTTAGTTAAGGGCCATATTCCTTATGAGAATATGAGTTGGTAATTCTTCCAATGGACAAGTTGACTTTAATTATACCCTCAAGGCTGTGCTGTGACATGTTTCTTTATTCCTGTCTTTATGGTGAACAGATGTTATAATCCATAAATCTGATCTATAAGAAGCTATAAATAGCAAAGTAAAATACAACAATATACAGTAAAGTCTCAATCAGGATGCCTGAGGGATCAAATATTTTGGTTAACTGAATTATCTAATGAACTTAGGTTTAGGCTTGACCAGAAAAGGAAACAAAACACTTTTGCGGGGAGTTAGTCTTAATACATAGCCTTGCCCTCAGTAGAGTGAATTCAATGAACATCTATTTGTTAGATGACTCACGATTCTTCAGTGCTTTGAAAACATGGCTGTGGTCAATTATCACTAGAGTAACGCAAGTAGAGAACAGGGTGTCTTAACTTGGGCACTACTGACACAGGAACCATTTAATTTTGTCGTCGTGGTGGCTGTCCTGTGCACGGAAGGATGCTCAGCGGCATCCCGGCCCTCTACTCACTAGATGCCCGAAGCACCTCTCCACCAGCTGGGACAACCAAAAATGTCTCCGGGCATTGTCAAATGTCCTCTGGGTGGCAAAACTGACCCTGGTTGAGAACCACTATTAAAAAATGTGTAAAACAGAATGTCTCAACCAGTGAGTAAAAGACACCTCACTTTTAAAAATAACAGCCTTACTGAGATATAATTCACATACTATACAGTTCACCCAATTACAATCAGTTTTTGAACATTTTCATTGCCCCTCCAAGAAAA